AGTTTTAAAAGCATACATAGCATAGAATTTATAGTTAAAATGCATTAGAAAAAGGTCTCTATTCACTAATAATATTCATTCCCTCTTTTAGTTTTTTCTTAGTTAAATAAAGGGGGAAAAAAGGATAGCATAGAGTTTTAAACCTCTTCATTTTGACTACCACATTTAATCATGGTTACACAATAGCACCAAAATTAGGACAAAATACAAGAATTACAGAAGAGATCTTAAATTATATGAGCTCATTGCATGCTTCAAAGTTCTTATTCTCTGAGAAAAAAAGTTTCACTACCAAACTTTGCTGCATTTTTCTCCCCAAAGAAATATAACCCAATATACCCCAAACTAAACAAAAGATACAATAGACTGGTTTTTTTTGAATATATATCTTATCTACAGTTTGTGGAACAGATAGTCCATTTAAATAGAAAAAGATTGATTTTACATAAAGCAAGAGAGTACAAAAGCACAGCTTTTGTTCTTTTGGTAATATTGCAATTTTACAAACATATTGCATAGTATGTGTAAGAAAATAGTTCCATTTTTTTATATATCTATATATACAAGAAAACATTAACATGAAAATTACAAAAGAAAATAAATGAGTAGTGGACCTGGTTTAAAGAATTTATAAATAACGAGACACTCGAACTTACATATTTCCAATGTTAGTGAATGTCCTTGTACATCTTTAACCCTGTTTGGATTTTATTTATAAATAGTCAAACAAATGAGATATTAAGACTGCAAAAACAAAAAAAGAGAATCACAGTTCATTATACCTCATTTCCTGTAAATGTTTCCACTGATTTTCTCAAAGCATGGTCATTTCAATCAACACCTAAAAAAATAGCCCTCTAGTTCTAAAAGTGCTTCAAATTAATTACTTTTTCAAATAATTTTTAGCAATCAACAAAGTTTAAACTCAGCTGAGAAAATCTGTTTTGGGCCCATTTGGGGATATAATTACATATTGGTTTATGAATATCAAAGAGTTTATTATGCAAGTATAATAGGTAAATGGACTATATTAACAGATATTTCCTTCTCAAATACAGCATTTATTAATGATCTGTAGCTCAGAATAACTGCAAGAAAGATGTTTACTACCTCATGTTGCAATTATAAGCCCTCCTATTTATTTGAATAAATTAGTAGAAGCAGTAGTGTTGAGGAGTTAAATACATTAGAAATCCCAGTCTTTGGTCTTTAACATTTAGACAACTAGCAAACTATCAAATGAAACAATATGGATGACAGTGTTCAATGGATATTCCTTAGTTTATGATAATTTTAAAAGAATAAAATAGAATATTATTTATTTTGTGATATTTTCCAATATTTATTACTATAATATATACTAGTACAAGAGAAAATAATTTCTCCAAATATCTTTAATAAGGTCACATAAGCAATTCTAATTGGATCAAAGCTATAGGAAGAATTACATGGTAAGACCTCATTCATATAAAATTCAAAGGTGGGTTTGAATGTGATTGGTGTATAGAAAATTTGGCCATTAAGTATATTAAACTAGTTTAATAATTTAATATTATTTTCATGTTATCTGCTATAAAATATAGCACTAAATGCATTAAGAGCTCTCCAGTCCTCAATTACTGCCTTATACATGCTTTATACCATATTACTATGACAGAATTCCTTAGTATTTTTACTGTAACAAATGCTAGTCTTATAATATGAGGCACTGACCAATAGAGAGGTTCAGATAGAATATGTATAAATATTGAATACTACAGCATGAAATAATAAATTTAGCTGTTCACCTTTCTGATCAAATTATATTCTCTTCAAAATAATAATGCTACTGTGTTTGACAGTGATAAATAACATTGAATGGTAAGTAGATTACTAATATTTGTAAATAATCTTATAATTTCCTAATAATCTATTTACTAGAAATATATTAACTTTCTTTGTAAATGGCAATCATATTACTAAAGATTATGAACAAAGCATGATTTATTCAAAGAACCAATGTCAAATGGTAAGATAAGAACCGGAAAAGGAGTATAGAAAAGGGTATTGGAAGACGGATGATGAAAAGATGGCATTTCAACATTTTAAAGTAGCATTAGAAGGCATTGGAGGAGGTAAAAAAATGTTTTGCTAAGTTTACTTTTAAATATAGTTTGCTGAGTCTTTTTTTTTTAAGCAAGTCAATAGAATGTAAGAGTCAAAAGTAACCAAGGTATTCTTCATTTGACGTGATTCTCTCATAGATAAGTAAATAGTAGTCAAGATATTTATAAGTTCTAAGGATCACATGAAGAGGTAAGGGCAAAACCAGAAATTGAATTTATGTTTTTATTTTTAAAAATATGGGGTAATTTAATAAAATATTCAGAATAAAGATCATAAAGCTTTCTTGAATCTTAGATAAATGATCATGAAATTATAAAGTTTGTGAATAATAAGGTGGAAATAAACTAAGATATAGGGTAGAAATGTTGAGGAAAAGAACTAGAACCAGGAGATTTGTAATTGTAGATTTTATAAATGTGTTTTAAAATATATTTTGTGAGAGAAAAGATTACATCCCATTTGCTTTGCTCTTTTTGATCCAGTAAAGCTAAAACCAAATATTTCTCAATTTATCCATACTTACTTAAGAAATGGAATGATAGAACTTGTCCTCTTCTTTCTCTACCTTTCATGAGAATCTGCCTTGTTTATTTACTTTATTTCTCTTCTTACCTTTAAATGTATAACTTATCATCTATGCTTTTCTGATTTTGATTTAGAAAAATTGAAATTTGTAATATCTAGGCAATTTGATGTGAACTGTACCTATGTAGAATATAGTTATATTTTAAGAACATTTTTCTTAAAAAACAGATAATGACTTAGATGGGACAGTCTGCAAAAAAGGGAACTCTACTATTAGAGAAACATGACTTCTTTTCTGAGGATGAAGGGCTTTTTGGAGAAATGTCATGTGATTTTAATAGACTTCAGAGGAAGAATCTGACTTGATATTTAGATTCTAAAGAATCTACAATAAATACTGAAATACTTTTAAAGTACTATTTAGTATTGGGTAGAAAGCCTGTTGAAAATCATTATTTTTTCACTAAATACAACAAGTTTTTTCATCATCTAGATATATTCTAGATTCAACTTATTTGTTTTGAATTGTGTTTATAACATTTCAGTAAAATTTTAGATACAAACTTTGACATCCCTTACTGTAATTAGATTTTTACTTTTCTCATCACTCTTTCCATCTTTTCTCTTCTTGTAACATGCAATTTAAATTTTCAGTGGCCTCTTCCACCTCTTATAATATTTGCTCTTGGAATTAAAACATGTTAGAGCTGGGAAGAACCTCAAGAGACCATTTAATCTAATACTTTTCTTGTAAATTTGAGTAAACTGAAACCTGGAGAGATTCCCAGAATGCCTAAATCAGCTCACTGATTAGTAGAAGACAGAGAAGACATAAGAAACAGAGCTAATTACTAATCAAAAGAATTGTTCCCATTTGATTATGAAAATTCTAATTGTTTTAATTTAGAAATGTTTAGAACTTGAATATGTCTCAAATTAGTACATAGTGTTTTCTTAAAAGTCCATAATACAGAGAATAGCACCCATTTCTTAAAATTTTGTGTATTCTAACTTGTTTATTTTACAAAAACCAATATAAGAATTTCTCTCATTAAATTAAAATGCTTTAACTTAGATATATAAAGCATGTTACATGAATTTTTAATAAACAGCAATTCTTAGTCCAATATTGATTTAAAGATTTATGTAATAACTTCAAACATAGGTCAAGTTCTATTTTGAAGATAATGAAGCTGAACTAGTTTATTGATTCTTCAGCTGAATACTGAATGCATTTAGTGAAATGAAGCTTTGTAAATCATTTCATAGGTTATTCAAACAATATAGCAGGGAAAATGCTTCACTCTGTTCCTTCTATTACCTAAATTTTCCTGCTTTCATTTATCAAATTGTCCCATGAGTTACATTTCCCTTTACCCTGTGCTATAGGAACTTCAACTCCTAAGATTCTATAGGATTAGACCCACAAAATAAAGCTTCCACACACTCACAAGAGTGTGCACAGGGAGAAAAAGAATGAATGACATGAAAATTACAGACTTACCTTATAGTAATCAAGTCATCTTCCCATTATAGGATCTATTAAATACAGTTTTACATTCCTGGATTCTGTAAGTTTCAAGAATTCAAGTTAAGGAGTGTTGTGATGAGAAATCTACAGTATACTGGATTATTTATTAGGAGCTAATTTTTATATATATAAGTGGTAGGAAATGGAGGGAACTATGATTTTTGCTGCTGGGGTACTTTAACATTATAATCAAATAACTAAATATTAATAACTGATGGAAGTGTAACTAAAATCATTAAAATACATATCCAATAGAGAAAAACACATTTTCAACATATTTGTTAATATTTATATTTTTCACTTTTAACCATGATTTTTAATTTGATATCTAATCACCTTAAATCTTAATATGCAATAAAACACATAAATATATTTCTGAAGATGATATTCCAATGGAAAGTGAATTCATTCTCGGTATTATGCATCACATTAGTATTTATTTATTAAGAGGATGTTCGAATTTTAGCAGTCAGAGTAAAGAATAAAGTGAATGAAAGAAACAAAAATTGGACTATTAGAACCTAAATGTAAAGAATAGCATGTGGAATTAAAAATAAAAAATCTATGGATTCCGCATCATCAGTATGTCCCTCTTGGTCCTACCTTATATTGCAGTAATTAGATGTTTTGTTAAAAGCAAATACATCACATGCAATAGCCAAGTAAATACTATATAAGGCCATTCAGATCTGACAAATGACAGTATAATGGCATTTTGTTAATTCTGTAAAGATAATATTGCTGAGTGCTTTCAAAATTACCTAATGTACAAAATTCTAGACTTAGTAGACAAAGAGTAACAACACATTGGAATTAAAGAAACAAATAAAACTCAGGGTGGAATTCTGTTTTGTTTTGTTTTGTTTTGTTAAAAACCATGTATTGAATTTAATTTTTAGTAAAGCAAGCATTACATAATGCTTCAAAAATTTAAAATTCGGGGATAAAAGTTTACATCCAAAAAGATGAATGGAAAATTGTGCTTTCAGACTGTAGAATTAGTTTTCTTACAGAGTTAACCATTTCATCTTGCCATTGGATACTGGGATTTTTACCTATGTAATGTATATATGTGCAGTTCAAATCCAGGTCCTGCAAAAATCTAAAACTGTGTGCTTCACTTCATGTAGCAAAGGCACCTATGTTATTCTCCCTTTCGAGCAAGAGTTATGATCCAGTTTTCCTGCTGAAGATGATCTTTCCACTGCTCTGTCATTCACGCGCTCTGTCTTAAGGAGTACAGTATATTACAAGAGAAGAAGTGGCGATGGATCCCTGCTTACACTTGGAAAAAGTTGCTCCGTGGACCATTTGAAGAAGCTCTGGACTGATCACAAGGGAAACCGAGCAGAACTGTGAAGCAGACGGACAGTAACAAAAGGCTATTCTGGTGTGAGGAGAAATCAGTCGCTTCAGTTCCATAGGCATATGTTGCTACTGGACTGACAAGTGGAACCTACCCCTGCTGGAGAAAGGTAAAGTTTGCCATTGGGGCAGATGCACAGTTCGTACACTGTCTGTCGAGAATTTGAGGAGCTGGATGAAGATGAAAAGGAGCCAGTTGGTAGATTTCCCAGCCGGATTGTATCCGCATTCAAAAATATCTAGGGGGAAAGAAATTGCATTTTAATTCATCTTAGCATACTACATTCCCCAGTGTTTTACAGCGTAAACTAATAAGGAAGACTACAAAAACAGTCCTATTGGTTTAGCTGTCATGCTATATTGAACAAACAAATTACATCCTATGATATAGCTCGGAAGCTCTGCAGCTATCTTCTCCTTTGAGAAATGGCGCATTTCAACAGAGAATCCTCCATTAAGCAAGCAATGTTGTACAATCGGCTGAAGGGTCCAAGCCTTTATCCAAACACCACAATTAAATGATTTTGACAGACCCTTTCAATTTTAATTTTAAACTATGCCTCATTTAGAGAAAATACAAAGAAACAAGGATGTTCATCGTGAGGATGTTCACCAGCAACTGATAACAATTAAGACTTTCTGACTTTAATATTTTAATAAGGTAAAAATAAAATCAGTTCCCTTTGGGAGAAGAGTATCAAGCTGAACAATTAACACCCGTTTTTCTGAATCATTCAACTTACACAATTACTTCATTTACTCCAAATCATGGACTCATAACTCAGAGGGGCAGTCATAATATAGTTTTGACATGCATGAGAACATTTAGAAAAATTAAAAATTGGTGGCCATGGAAATAGCTCAGAAGGGTGGAGTGCATGCTTTACATGCAGAAGGGCTGTATTTGATCTCCAGTACCACACAGTTCCCTGGGAACTTTGCAGGAGTAACCCTGGAGCATTGAGCTGAGATTAGTTAGCATGCCCATCCCCAATGCAAGAGGGTGTGGCTTCCAAACCCAAACCTCAAATCAAATGGATCATGAATTTCAATGTGAAAAGAAAAAGAAGAAATTGGATCATGAATTTCAATGTGTAAAGAAAAAGAAGGACCTCACTCAACTTCTTGATTCTGTCCTATGCAGCTCATTAGCTATGCCTAGCAGCTTCTTCACATTGATAGGCAAACAGGAAACTTCTGCAAATTTTTCCATGTCCTATTTATTTCCAAGTCCTATTTATGTCTTACTGCTTCAGCCATAGTCTCCTAATTCCTTCCCATTACTATTTCTCAATTATAACACCAAGAGAACTAGTTCTTAGTCAGTTTCATAATTGCTACAGTGAAATTTCAAGAAAGACAAATCAAATATTTGTTATTTCAGGGATGAAAACTCTCTAATAGCCTCCCATCACTTAAAAAAAATAAAACAATCTTTATTTCTACCATGTCCCACAAACCCTCAATGATCTAGTCTTTCTAATATCATTTTATAAAATTGTCCTTCCTCCAGTTTTTGCATTTTTCTTCTTCAAGCATAGCAAAAAAACTCTGTTGTTGGGATTTTTTTATTTGCCATTTCTTTAACCTAAAGTAATTGTCTATAAACAATTATTGAGGTGGTTAGAGATTAGGATGAAATGAAGATGTCTACTACTCACATTTTAAAAATTAAATTTCTTAAGTTTCTGAAACATAGGAATCAAATTGCATACTGTCAAAAAGCTGCAAATTATTCAAACATCATGGGAATGTACTGTAGCACTGTCCTCCCATTGTTCATCTATTTGCTCAAGTGGGCACCAATAATGTCTCCATTGTGAGACTCGTTACCATTTTTGGCATATCAAAATCTACATGCGTAGCTTGCCAGGCTCTGCCATGCGGATGGGATACTCTTGGTAGTTTGCTGGGCTCTCCAAGAGGGATGGAGGAATTGAAACTGGGTTGGCCACTTGCAAGGCAAATGCCCCACCAGCTGTGCTAACACTCTGCCCATGGGAATGTACATTTTTTTAATTTAATTCTTAAATTTTTGTTCATTATCTCTAATTAAAGATTACCTTTATCAAAAAGAGTTTTATCTAACCTACTAACTCATAGCACTGTAGCACTGTCCTCGCATTATTCATTAATTTGCTCAAGCAGGCCCAGTAATGTCTCCATTGTGAGACTTGTTGTTACTGTGTTTGGCATATCAAATACTTCACAGGTAGCTTGCTAGGCTTTGCTGTGCGGGCAAGATACTCTCAGTAGCTTGCTGGGCTCTCCGAGAGGGGTGGAAGAATCAAACTTAGTTGGCCAAGTTTGCCGCGTGCAAGGCAAATGCCCTACCTGCCGTGGTATCACTCCAGCCCATTAACTCAAAATTTAATTAATATAATAGTTTTGTATCATTATCATTTACTTTATAATAAAACCTGTAATTGAACATATCAATACATTAGTTATGTATGATAATATTAATAATACATGTAACTTTTAATATAATTGATATATTGATACTGAAATTAGTCCATTTAGCTCTCCTTATGATTTTTTTTTCTGCAGTAGCAATCCATAACATTGTATTAGGTATATGTTTGTTTGCTGACTGTTTTACTTACTTCTAAGCAGAGTTATGCAGGCATGGTATGCCTTTGGATCATGGGTATAGTACAATTCACAGATTTGTGCCAGTGAATGTAATATTATGCTCTTTCTTCACCTCAGCCATTTCTCTTCCTTCTAAGATACAAATGTTTGTGTCCATAGGAGCCCAGTTCAGCTGCTTCATCTTCTTTGGACTTAGGCTGCTGCACCACGATGGAAATATTTTTTCATTTGGTCCCTCCATGGCAGTTATCTATGCCCTAATTTACTGATCACTTTTTATGATACTTTAGAATCATACTTGCATTTCTCCCTAAAAGCATATTTTTCTGAAAGGTAGAATCTCATCATAACTTTTTTTTAAATAACTTCACAGCATTTGACTTTTCACATACAAATTCCATTATAATAAAGGCAATTTTTCAAATGAAGAAATTAAAAATGATGGCATTTACCAATGGAGTTCAAAGTTAAGAATGGATATTAACCTGTATTTGCTTCTGGAAAAAAAATGACAGAAAAGCAATGAGGGAAAAAAAAACGTTGTTGTAATTATTTTTTCTAATATAAAAGTTAAGAATTCATGAAACTAAGGAAGAGAAAATGACTATGTTTTGGGCTTATAGGAATTAGGCATCATTATTTCTATCTCTGTGTGTTAGTGCCATGAACATAAATTATCATATTACTAAATATAACACATTCTGGACACTCACTTCTCAAAGAGCACTAGGGAGAACTCCTTTACTAATTAAGTTTGAAAGAAGAAATAGGCTTATATAACCCTTGCTCTTTTCTGCAATTCCTTTTTTTGAAGGGTGGGTGAAAAGAGGCAGGGTTTCAAGCCCCACTTGGCATTAGGGCTTACTTCTAGTTCTGTGATCAGGAATAATTCCTGGCAGTTCTTTAGACACCATGTCTGGGATTGTAAGTGGGGTTAATCGAATGCAAGGCAAGAACACTACTTCCAGTATGTTCTCTAACCCCTGCCCCCCCCCGCCGCACTTCTTTCACAGGAACTAGTAACTTGCAGAAAGTAGGTGTTATTAAGGTCTTCACAAATACTGAAAACCTAGCAGGGGTGAACTCTAGGATTGTGAGGGTCTATATCTGCAGATTTAGAGATAAGTTCACTGCTTATAATTATTAGCTGATTAGCTGAAGCGTTTTTGTTTTTATCCTGGAAACCTGGAAATATAGATTAAAAAGTTGGAACAAAAATCTAAAAAGCATACGGATCAGGATTCTCCTGCAGGATTTCGAGAAGAAATATTAGGTATAATGAGTGATTTGGCAGTAAGCAGAAATGGATCATTGTAACTGTCCTCCCATTGTTCATTGATTTGCTCAAGCGTGACCAGTAACGTCTCCATTGTGACAATTGTTACTGCGCTTGGCAGATCAAATATGTCATGAGGAGCTTGACAGGCTTTGCTGTGCGAGCGAGATATTCTCAGTAGCTTGCTGGACTCTCAGAGAGGGCCGGAGGAATTGAACTCAGGTCGGCATGTTTGCCGTTTGCAAGGCAAATGCCCTACCCGCTGTGCTATAGCTCCAGCCCAGTAAGCAGAAAAATAAATATTATTTTGTAGGAATACACAGATGTGCTAAAAACATGCCATACCTTACGGTGTTTTGTTTCTCTGATTGTTGCTGTTTTGATGCCATTGATGGAACTCAGGGCCCCTGACATACAGAGCTACACACCGGACCTAGACTGATGGTTTACATAGTAATGGAATTACCTTTCCTTCAGTTTGTACTGGTTTAGCCTGAGTGACAGTAGAAAGTGGTCAGGTGGAACATGTAGGTGAAAGCCACAGAAAGCAAAGCACAGCTGTGGAGTCCTTGTTGACTAAGTAAGCCTTGGAGAATGTGGGGCTTAGGGGATGTAGCTGTATGGTGGGTATTCTCCAGAAACTTCTATCTACTAAAGAATTTTTTTCTGGACAGCATTTAGCTACATGCCAATACCTCCCCAAACTTCTCATTTCCAACTTGATTTATAGTCTCATCTTAAAGATGAGGCTGTCACTGTCACTGTCGTCCCTTTGTTCGTCGATTTTCTAGAGGCGGCCCAGTAACTTCTCCATAGTGAGACTTGTTGTTACTGTGTTTGGCATATCGAGTACATCACGGGTAGATTTCCAGGCTCTGACGTGCAGGTGAGATATTCTTGGTAGCTTGCTGGGCTCTCTGAGAGTGGTGGAGGAATCGAACTCTGGTCGGCCATGTGGGCTGCATGCAAGGCAAACGCCTTACCCGCTGTGCTATCACTCCAGCACAAAGATGAGGGTATAAAAACTAATATATAAATATTCTTATATAATTAAGGAGGTAAGTTATTCATGAGACGACAAATCAAAATGATTGGGACCTTTTAAAAGAAGGAATATTTTCTTTATGCCATGGGATAGAAAATATATGAGTTATAAAGTGGGTGTTATGTACTGAATACTTGCAACTCCATACTGTTCAGATTTTTCAGGTTTCTGCAGCATGGATGGACCTGACTTTGGTCTTTTTATGTTCTGCTAAAAGTTACCATGATTTTTTTTTCGGAGGGAGCACATGCAGTGATACTCAGGGGTTACTCCTGGCTCAGAAATCACTCCTACTGGTGCTTTGCAAGCCAT